TTATTCAGTGTATGGACAATGGGGGGCGTCACCTACCGGATATGATTTTCAAAACTGTGTAAAACAGAACTTTAGATATGTACCTACATTATTAAAGACAATAAAAACAATTCTGATTCATAAAATGGGTTTTATTGCGTTTTGAAAAAAGGAAGTTATGTTTGCCGCACCCTGTATATATATATATTTATTTATTAACAGACATGTTACACTTACCTGTTCTTTGCAATGATCTATTGATCCTATTCTTCTGGGGTCCCCTGCCAGCTCCTGGCTCCACCCCCCCCCTGGTGCCCACCCATAGCAAGTCGCATGCTATGGGAGCACTCATTTGGGCTTACTCCTGAGCTGGCTCTGTGTGTCCATTGACACACAGAGCATGGCTCCGCTCCACCCCCTGCTCCCTCTTCAGTCGCTGTGATTGACCGTAGTGGGAGCCTATGGCTCCCACTGCTGTCTCTGAGCCTTTTGAGGAGAGAGAGAGGCGTGAGCCCCTGCTCTCGAGTACATCGCTGGCTCGAGATAGGACTCAGGCAAGCATAAGGAGGAGCTGCACAGAGACGGTTTTTTACCTTAATGCATAGAGTGACTTAGGATAAAAAAACTTCAGACTTTATAACCACTTTAAGGACTGCAGAGGCAAGAACCAACTCTGACTTTCCTAATCTGCCTTGTTACAGGCCAGTTCCTCAGAAACAATTGAATATGAGTAACAATATAGCAGGAATGAAACTATTGCTTACTTTTCAGCTAGGTTCACACCTCTGTGTGTTGCGATTGATGCATTTTGCAGTTTTTAAATACATGTTTTTGCTGTGTTTTTACACCATTTTCCTTTTGTTTGTCAATAGGAAAGTATTGACTTTAATGCCATTTTGATGCAACTTTGATGTGACTTTGGATGAGTGTGACTTGGATGCGACTTTGGATCGGTGCAACGTTGATGCGATTTTGATACTATTTCAGTACTAGAGAGTGTAAAATCATATCAAAGTCACATCAAAGTTGCACTACATGAACAGAACTATCATACTTTTCTATTAACAAAAAAAACAACACAAAGCGCAACACACAACACAAAGCGCATAAAAAAATGCATTAAAAACTCAACACTTGCACTTTTGGTGCAGTTCCATTAAAGTCTATTGCACAATAAAGGCAATCTGCTGTGGGAAAAAAGTCCCTGACCTGTTAAAAAAAACCTCACTGGCTCAAAATGCACACATGTGAACTTGTAGACTGTGTTCTTCTATTGTTGTGACTTAGATGACGTTCAGAGCACATTTTATGCCCAATTCATGCAAAACTCCACGTAATCCCAAGGGGTTCACATACTTTTTCTTGCAACTGTAAATGACTGAAGTGCATTTCTGCAAACTGGAAAAATCACTGAAAAGCTCAAGTGTGAACTTTAGTGCAGGAAATTATCAATGGCAGCCTCTCTCATCAAAGGGTCTGTGTGCTTCTCTATGCAAGGCAGGCAGATCATGGCTGCTGGGAGAGGTCAACAGATGCTGTGCATACCTTCCTTAAAATATCACAGCACCTTGCTTCAGTACACCTCTCACAAGCCCTCAGCCTGGATGTAAGCAGTGGGATGGCTCTTGGGAGGGGTTTTGCAAATATCAAAATGCTTTGACAGGTGAATGTCAGTCTGGAGGTGTGGGCATTCTAGGCAGGCTGTATTTGAATGCAAAAGAAGATGAAAAACAATTACCAAATGCACAGGGCTCAAAAGTCCAACTAAATTGGTGCAATCCTGTCTGGCAGTGTGTGGTGAAAATCCAATAAGGTGTACTGACTCAAACAGCTGCAGTTTCAGATTCCTCAATCTCATAGTTTTTTTTTTTGCCTTCCTCTGGATCAACTGTGGGTAGAGTATTATAACTTTTTATTTTTTTTTTATGGTTGAACTGGATGGACTTTTGTCGTTTTACAGCCAGACTAACTAGGTAACTATGGTACAACAGCAGCATTTTCTCTCTGTTGTTCTCTTGATGCCTTTTCAGATATTGCTTCAGCTCTTCTGGGGTGCTGCAACAAGTGTTCAGAGGATGCTATAGGACCCTTTGCTGTAATCTAAGATGGATCCTTGAATCCCTAGTGTATCCATGTGCTTTACATTCCTTGGTTCCAGTATTTCCATCTATCTGACCTGTTGCAACTTCTAATGCACACTGTGAGAACTCAAGAGTGTGCAGTGAAATCATAGCTATTTAGTATAGGAGAAGAACCTGTACAACTGTGCAAGCCTGAAGGCAAGGCTTGAGTTCATCTTTCAATGGGAACTTAGACGTACAGGTCCCTGGCCTATTATTCGGGTCCTTGAGGTATGATAATAGTTTTTCTCTAGGATACAAAGCACACCCGGATCTATTTATTGTACATGACAATCACCAGTGCATGTACAAGCCTCCGGATCTCAGAAGGTACAATTATACCAGCATCGCTCTCCACTTTAGCGTGTGACAAGATAATAGAGGAGATTCACTAAGTGGTGACACAGCTCTCCAATTAGAACGCCACTTCTCCCACGTTATCCTCCTTATTCAATTAGAAGGCGAGGCACACAGATAGCGGCGATGCAGGTACAGTTTACTTCTTTATTATGATCCTTATCGGGTACACAATCGTTTCATAGAGCTCACAGCAAGCGGCCCACTCAGGGAAATAATATAAGCCACAGAGTTTCATCTGTTTATTGCTATCCATAGGAGTCAGTAAACTTTCCCTTTTCTTGTCTGCAATTTTCTGTTTTGGAAACTTTTTCTAATCCTTTGTCGTGTTGGGAGAACTGGAAGTGCAGATCAGCTGACTGTGCCAGAACTTCGGCCCCCTGAGCCGCTTCAGTTGAGGTCACATGACCAAATGCAGGTGTTTGATCACAAAAGTCAAATATTCAAATTAAAATCCGCTCTTGGTCAAAAACATATATCAGCGTCTACTTTAATTAACCACATCCCTGCCTCCCTATAGCAGATACTGTATATGTTACAGGGTGGTAGGGGTTCGCAAAATCACGTATACAGGGGTGGACTGACTATTTGGAAACTCGGGCACTGCCCAAGGGCCCGGGGTCAGTAGGGGGCCCCATGAGATGCCCCTGGTACCTTTTTCATAGGCTTTTTTGAGTTTGGGCAAGGATACAGGGGCCCCATGATCCCCTATTACCAAATTAAAAAAGAAAAAAGCGCCACTTACAAAAAACACAAAAAAATGTCAGCAGCATATCCCACCCAAAATAAATTTTGGCAACAATAATCCTAATTAACTAGCTGCTGACCGCAGATAGCCGAATGACGGCTGCACTGCGGCCGGCCAGTTCTGAGTGGACGTCATATGACGTCCTCCCAGAACGCGCTCTCCTGCACGCCCCAGGGGGCGCGCACCCGGCGATCTCCGTGATCGCTGTGTCCTACGGACACAGCTGATCACGTGATGTGGTAAAAGGCCAATCACAGCGGCCTTTTACCACGTGATCAGCGGTGTCCAATGACACGCTGATCAGAGGGAAATGCAAGTGCCGGTTCTCGGCTGCACTTTCCTCACGCTGTCAGATCGTGAGGAAAGTACTGCCGAGAACCGGCAGTTGTCAGAGCGGGGATCGGCACCGATCATCAGGCACTGATGATCAGTGCCCTGATGATCGGTGCCCAGCAGTGCCGCCCGCAAGTTCCGCCCACCTGTGCCCAGCAGTGCGCCCACTAGCTCCGCCCACCTGTGCCCAGCAGATCACCTACCTGTGCCACTCTGCAGTGTCACACACCCGTGCCCAGAAGTGCCACCTACCTGTGCCCAGCAGTGCCACCCACCTGTGCCCACCCACCTGTGCCCACCAGTGCCACCCACCTGTGCCCACCCACCAGTGCTGTCCACCAGTGCCACCCACCAGTGCAGCCCAGCAGTGCTGCCAGTCAGTGCCACCATTCAGTGCCCAGCGGTTGTGCCAGTCAGTGCCGCCAGTCAATGCCCAGCAGTGATGCCAGTCAGTGCCATCTATCAGTACCCATCATCAGTGTCACCTATCAGTGCTGCCTATCAGTGCTGCATATTAGTCCCGCCTATCCGTGACACCTCATTAGTGCTGTCTATCAGTGCCGCCTATCCGTGCCACCTCATTAGTACTGCCTATCAGTGCTCTTTCGTGCTGCCTATCAGTGCCCATCAGTGCCGCCTATCAGTGCCCATCAGTGCTGCCTCATCAACGCACATCAGTAAAGGAGAAAAATTACCTGTTTGAAAAATTTTATAACAGAAACAAAGAAACTTTTTTTTTTTTCTCAAATTTTTTGCACTTTTTTTATTTATAGCGCAAAAAGTAAAGCACCCAGTGGCGATTAAATACCACCAAAAGAAAGCTCTATTTGTGAGAAAGAAATTATCAAAATTTCATATGGGTACAATGTTGCATGACCGCGCAATTGTCAATCAAATTGCGGCAGCGCTGAAAGCTGAAAATTGGCCTGGTAAATAAGGGGGTATAAGTGCCCGTAGGCAAGTGGTTAAAAGAGAACACCATTATGTTCTCTTTTTTGTCCCTGAGTGTACTGCGTGCTCTCATGGAGGTATGAGAAAGAGGGGAGAAGTTCATCATAAGAGCTTGGGCTGCAAAGTTGTTTGTCTGTGATTATTATTATCTGGAAGTGTCTGAAACATCACCATATCTATTTGGACATCGGGTTCATTGCTCCGAGAGCACAAGTGCTGTTGCTGGTTTATAATCTGACCAGCCATTAGCTCTGGTGAGTTCATTTAATCTCCTTTGGTGGTGGATTTTTCACAATTGATTCAAGTCACTGAAGATATATATATATTTTTTGGACACTAATTTATGTTTGGACACTATAATTATTTATTTAAAACACTAATGTTTTATGGATGGTGATATACACCTTTGTATAAATTTGTTATTAGCGCATACCTTTTTAATTAGGATCATGATCCCCTAATGCCCGGGGGCCCCATGAGTTGACAGTCCGCCCCTGCACGTATATATACATGATTTTGCATTTCAGGGTAGGGGGGCATGCGAGCGGCGTGCTCCCTACATGTGCCGCAGCTGTCAATCACTGGGTCCCGGACGGTGATTATCTGCCGGCACCCAGTGATTACCGAAGATCTCCAATAGGCAGGAGGGCTGCTTTATTTACTTACAGCCCTCCTCCCTGTCAGCTCGGACACACTGCTCTGGATAGCTGTGCACAGCACAACCATTCAGAGCAGTGTGATTACAGTAAAGCCCACACACACTGCCCCCCCAGTAAAACACTCCCAGCACACAGTTAACCCTTTGATCACCCCTCATGTTAGCCCCTTCCTGCCCATGTGCCATTAGTACAGTGTCAGTGCTTTTTTTTACCACTGATCACTGTATTGGTGTCACTGGGGATGTCAGTGACACCAAGTCAGTTCCCCCCCAGTGTCAGAAAGCCCGCTGCAGTCCTGCCATAAGTCGCTGATCGCCACTATTATTAGTAAAAAAAAAAAAATTCCAGTACCTATACCACCATTTGTAAACGCTATAACTTTCACGTAAACCAATTAATGTACATGTATTGGGATTTTTATTAGCAAAGACACGTAGCAGAATACATTTTGGCCTAAATTTATGACGAAATGTTTAAATTTTTTTACTGGGTGTGTTTAATAGCGAAAAGCCAAAAATATTGTTTTTTTTCTCAAAATTGTCGGTCCTTTTTTTTCTATAGTGCAAAAAATTAAAAACGCAGAGGCGATCAAATACCACTGAAAGAAAGCTCAATTTGTGGGAAAAAAGAACATAAATTTCATTTAAGTGCAGCACTGCATGACTGCGCAATTTTCAGCTAAAATAACGCAGCATCATAAAGCAATAAATGGCCTGGTCAGGAAGAGGGGTAAATCCTCAGGAGGGCAAGTGGTTAATATTGTGATACCAATTACCAAGAGCAAGACAAAAAAAAAAGCAGCACTAAATACCAATAATCACATATCACACGGCTTATACTGTATATATAGTCCATTTAGAAAGTCCTCCTTAATCCAGATAATTGAATGAATCCAGTGCATAAAGATTAAATGTGTGCTTCATCCAATCGCATAAGTATGCTTCAGTGTATTCCTCCACCATGTGTGATCACCAATAAAGGCCTCTTACCAAACTTGTTGGACAATAAAATTATAAATGGTCAAATTCGCTTTTGGATCATACACCTTCCACTGTTCTATTCATAAGATCTGCAGGTCAGCGCACTCCCACCCAGAGAAGTTCATGGTTTGAAAAAACATAAACAGGCTGATGGTTCCGAAAAAAATGCCGTCTCCAATCGACTAGCATGCGAGATGTAGTCACGTCTAAGCCACACCCTACATGTTTCGTCGTAAATGACGAGTTGATCACATGACTAGTCGTCGTGGGAGCCTGGAGCTGTCACAGTAGTCACATGATTGGAAGCTGGTCACGATGACCCCTAATCGTTAGTATAGGCTAACAGTTGCCGTTGACAGGTTGTTCACTGTGCTGAGATCTCACACTGAGTGCACCAGCTTCGGCTTAATCGTAGAAGAAAGTTTAGTGGGGGTCATTGTAGGTGAGAATGACATTGCACCCTCCGGTGCTTCTGAAGGTACATGCACTGCTGAATTCTGGGTGTGCAAAGGTTAAAACTGATTGGGGGGGGACTTACAATGGTCATTTTTTATTAATTAATGTAAAGCCTTTATTTCAAAAGGAAGCATGCTGTCGCTGTAAATGCTTAGAAAGTGTTAGCTGGAGGTCAGTTTTAAAGTGTTACTCCATCAGATAACTCCCGTCCTATTGCTGACTACTATTACTACTGCTAATGACTGCTACTACTGCTGCTGACTATTACTACTAGAGCTGACTATTTCTGACTATGTTGTTTTACATTGTATTACTACTACTACTCATAACTGCTACTACTGCTGACTAGTACTACTACTGCTGACTACTTCTACTACTCCTGACTATGTTGTACTACTACTACTCCTGATTACTACTATTACTACTGCTGATGACTACTACTACTGCTGACTACAACTACTACTGATGAACTAATACTACTGCTGACTACATTGTAGTACTACTACTACTACACAACTGACTACTACTATTTCTGACTACTACTGCTGATGACTACTACTACTGCTGACTGCATTGTACTACTACTACTACTACTACTACTACTACTACTACTACTATTGCTGACGAATACTAGTGCTGCTGACTACTATAACTACTGCTGATGACTACTACTACTGCTAACTACAACTACTACTGCTGACTACATTGTACTACTACTACTGACTACTGCTATTGTTGACTACTACTACTGCTGATGACTACTACTTCTGCTGACTACGTTGTACTACTACTACTACTATTGATGACTATTATTACTACTGGTGACTGCTACTACTGCTGCTGACTACTATTACTACTGCTGACGACTACTACTACTGCTGACGACTACTACTACTGCTGATGACTACTACTACTGATGATGACTACTATTACTACTGCTGATGACCGCTACTACTGCTGACTATTACTACTACTCCTGACTACATTGTACTACTACTACTCCTGACTACTACTATTGCTACTTCTACTTCTACTACTCCTGACTACTACTATTACTACTGCTGATGACTGCTACTACTGCTGACTATGTTGTACTACTACTACTGCTGAATACGTTGTACTGCTACTACTGCTGACTAATACTACTACTACTACTACTACTACTGCTGAATATTTTGTACTGCTACTACTGCTGACTAATAATACTACTACTACTACAGCTGCTGCTGACTACTACTACTGTTACTACTACTGCTACTATTACAACTACTACTACTACTACTATTACTACTACTACTGCTGCTTACTACTTGGGGATTTAAAAATGAAATTGTGCTCAAATTTGCATCAGAATCGCATGTACATCTGATTTCTGTGCATTTCAGTTGAATTCTATGGGGCCAAAATTGCCCTGGAATTGCACAGTCTGCCCCTGCACGTATATATACATGATTTTGCAGCGCAGGAAACTTTTCCAAAATTCATGATGAATTGCATTGATGTGGATGGGCACCATTGATTCACATTGTCATATCATTCTGTTGACTGAGGTTGTGTCAAAAATCGTATTAGTGTGAACCATGATTAGAGGAGGCTGAGCAATAGACTTTTTTTCAGTTAAAATACATACTTGAATAGACTTTTTTTTTTTACCTAAGTTTAGTGTCACTTTACTGTGCCTTGAATGGAATTTCATTGTAAAGGGTCAATATACAGTACATTGCTTGGCAATAACACAGTAAAGAGTTAAAATAAAGTGAATTGGAAAAGCACTGTAAAAAGTTGATGTAAAGTGAATGGCAAGGCCACAATAAATCCTATTTGCTGGCTGGTTGGTTTGAGTGATGGGAAATGTTTTTATTGTATTGAGACCAGAGTTAAATTTATGGGGAAGATAGAAGACAGAGTGGATTTCTTTTTTTTAGCTCTCACTGGAGAATGGGTGATGAAGTAGATGTTCTTTTTGAAGATGACTTGCTTTTCATCAACAATTACCGTGTGTGCATTTTTTTCATTTAAAGTGCTATTTAACCCAGTTGAATAATAGATACACTTACATTTTCTATGGTGTATAAATTTATTAGGCCTCATACTATAGTATATGCCCTTGCAAGGGCTGTGTTTACCCCATGCATACCCATGCAGGCAGTCCCATTAATGCCGATTGAGAGGCAGCAGCAGAACACCTGTGCATCCCCATGCGGGTAAAAACAGCCCTCACATGGGCGTACGCTATAGTACAAGGCCTTATGTGTACAGACTCTTCCCTCCTGCTATAGAAGCATGGCTTGATCGTCTGCGGTTACTAATGGGGCATCTAAGGAGCAATGGAAATTTGTAAAATAGCTAAATAAAAAAAAAATAAAGATAAAAAGTTAAAAACTAAAATAAAAACTGTCAGTGCATGATTAACAAATAAACACATAAAAAAGCAAACATACAAAGAACACTAAACGAAATAAACGAAAGTATAATAAATCCATACAAACACACACTCTAAACAAAGCAAAAACTTAGATATTTTTTTCAAAGTAAATGTTACCTTTACTTTGGTGAAATTGGGAATTTTGTAGCAAAATCATTGCTCTTATATCTAGGCCTCATCAGCAGGAGCTTCATTGACAGTGAGTAAAAAGGTGACATACTGTAGGAAGTTTCAGAGTTAGGATAGTGTTGTGATCTGCTGCCCTCTACTGTTAGCTGCTAATATCACAGTGTTGCATATAATTGTGTATGCACTTCCTGTCCCTGGGTTTTGGCTTTGAAACCCTGGAAGGAGGAAGTGAAGAATGAGACAGAGAACTTAGCCACATGGCTGCTACTGCTGCTGTATTTTCAGTCAGATCAAAAGCAAAAGCCATTATGCAAGGATTCATATGTTCTAATAGTTTATTTGCAGCTCCCCATAGCTACTTGAGTGTATATCTAAATCCTTGTGAGGGACAAGTCTCTGCCTATTGTTATTATTTCACATGCACAATGCCAGATAGCTAGGTCTGTGCTACTGTATTCATGTAGAGGTCATATTCCAGTATATTGGTAGGTGAATCTGTTTATTGCAACAATTTCCTTCCGGCCTGAGATTCTATAGCTAGTTAGACATTCGGTGGCCACTTTGGGATCATTAGCTTAGTGGGCTGGTTGTACGTCTAATGAGAGAATATTATGGAGGAACTAAAACACAGTAGTACATAGGCTAACTCTGAGTTCCAGTGTCACAGCTCCTGCCGATGAGAGGCTCCATTCCAGGCTGGTTGGACATCAATGAAGGATCTACTGATGACTGCAGATCTTACTTTCAGGCTGCCAACACAAAGACAAATGCTGCATCATCCTTAGGGGCCCCTGCTAGTACGCTTTTCTGCAACATTCATCTGGGGGTATCTCTATTAAAAACTATATATACCTGTGTATATGTGCAAAATTCCACCAGGACTCCTATTGGAGGCCCTTTGCAGATAATATCTGTTAATACATTGGATGTTTGTACTGTTGTTAATCTCTTTTTATATAAACCTTGTATTAGTTCCATATGGGTGTGCATTTATATACGTATGGTCAATGTTATATGCTGACTACAGTAGTTCTGCTCCCAACTACTCTGTTAAGATTACAGATTCATTTCCCTCTGATCAAAGAGGCCTTGTCTCGAGGTGGAGTCACTGCTAACTTTATTATCAAACACATTCTTCCACTTAGGTTATGGTTCTCTTATTTACCTACAGGTTTACTGCAATAGACTATATGAGCAGGGTCATTTCTCATAACGTCCCCCAAAAGAGGACTACAATAGGAAATAAAGGTGTTAATTGCTTGGCATAGATGTATGAATCACAAATCTAGCTGAACTGGGTCACAGATCCTTTAA